AGCCACCTCTGCCACAGTGCTTGTGGGACCTCTGGGTGAAGAGACTTTGGTCTGAGTTTGTGATTCAGGTGGGAACTCAGGGGTCCCTCTCACATGAACATTTTTGTTAAGGCCATGAAATAATTCCAGGTTTGAAAAGCTAAACATGCGCTCAAGCACCTTGCTAGCTTGAGGCCTACTCTAGTGTCTTAGCTGGGTAGCAAAGGCTGACGCATTAGTGAACTGTGGGGCTTTTTGTTCCCGAGAATGTATGCAGCTCTTCAGTACTTGTCAATCTTAAATTAGTGTTCAAACCTGTCTGCTGAATGCTTATGTGCAGCAAACAATGGGGGAGGAAACACTGAGTTTGTTACATGCATTTCAAAAGCATACGATGTGGAAATCATGTTCTGTGACAGGCTAGAACACTACTAAATGTAAATTAACTCCATCAACAGCAGGGAGATGCCGAAGGAATGATGTCAGCTGAGAATCTGCTCCTGCATATTTTGCAATATTCAAATTAAATTGAAGTAAGTATTTAAAATTTACATGTGTAGGTACTTAGACATTTGCAGCTGTGAGCTTGCAGGTGATGGGCTGTGGTGATAGGTCCATGAGAGACATGCCATCAACCAAGGAAAGGGAATCAAATGGTGTATGACATCTAGTGCTTCCCAGTAGTACTGGCTGTAAGGTAGTGCTGCCATTATCATGAAGTCCCGGGAATGTTTAACGTTACCAGCCGTGTGGAAAGAAGCACTGCATTTTTCAGCATAGAAGTTGTCGCTGACAAAAACTCTCAGGCACCGCAAAGATTGCCCTAGAAGAATTAGTCTGCCCCTGGCAAAGGGGAGCAGCGGAGCAGTTAAAAGGAAAAGGAAGCACATTTCCCTTCTCCCTCAGGGCTGTCCTTGCTGGCTTAGGGAAGCTAAGCATGCGGTGGAGTTTCTGAGGTCGGCACTGACGTTGCTGGGGAAGAGGAGGGAGGACAGCATAAAGCCACCTGGCCTAGGATCAAGAAAGCTGTTACAGAATGGTCTCCCACTGAGCAGAAAGATACTCTTGGCTGCTGCATCTGCTGTTGTGTAGCCTCTTTCCTTCGGTCTTGCCTCCCATCTGAAAAAACAGCCAACAAGTAACGAATCACAACTGTACTTAATACAAGTAGGATAGATTTAATACAAATATCTTCAGAGCACCTCCCCCCCCCCCGAAAAAAAAAAAACCCAAACCAACAAACAAACCCAAAAAGGCTGCAGAACAAGATAATCTGTTTTCTTGAGATTGCTGGTATTAATATTTATATAAGAAGTGAAGCCACCTAACACTTACTTTGAGGCCACAATATTTAGGTATGTCAGGGAGATAGCAGTGTTCTATTACAGAACTGTGGTTGTATGAAAACCCAAAGCAAGGTGTTTTTCTTGGTTCCCGAATAAGAAATATAATCAATCAAGGCCTTCTGGTATTTCAAGGAGAAGTATGGATTTCTGTCACACAATGGCAAATTACACTTTTACCCTTTTCTTCAGGAGTGTATCATTGATGAAGACTGTGAAACAGGGAAATATTGCCAGTTCTCCACCTTTGAATACAAATGTCAGCCCTGTAAAACCCAGCATACAGTAAGTCCTGAATGAGATGTGATTTTATGTGGGATGTAAGTTATTGTTGCTAATGTCAGCAAGTCAAAAGTGATAGAAAGAAGATGCACAGCTTTCTGCATGAGGTTGAAAAATGGATGCGTAGAGTGTTTTGGGTTGGTTTGTTTTTTTTTTCTCCTACCTGTTAACACAAAAGTTTTAAGGTTTCTGTCCTCATATGCTTTAAAACCTGCACTCCATTTCTCCTGACTCGAGCTTGACTTGTTAGGTGGCCTAAGGACAGCGTAAACTAACACATTGTAGGTTGCCAGTGGAATGGGCGAAGAGGAAATACTGTGCCAGCTCCTAAGGCTCCCCTGACAGTTGGTCAGCTCCAGCTCTTGATTCGCAAAGAGAATTGCAGCAGCCTGCGCTCTTCCCTTCATTGACAACTTGTACAATGCTGTGGCGCAACTGGTCCTGTAAATGATCCTCTTACGTGGATCATTTACATTATTTGAACCTGTGAACCTCAGGAAGCAGTAAATTCCTGTCTTTTGAGCTGAAAGATAAATGTACTTGGTAGTAGCTATGGTTAGATTGTCATCTGTAGGTGACAGGTACCTAAGAAGTTCAGGCTTTTTCTGTGGTCAAAATCCAGTTTAAGAGTAGTCTGTCAAAAAAGGCCTTTTATCTGACTGTCTCTTTTCATCTAAGTTCTGCTGATGGCCTCTTATGAAACAAATTAATTCCTCAAAGCATTTGCAGACAGTTAAGTCTACAAGCAAGCAAACCTTGCTGTCAAGTCATGTAATCAAGAGGATTATTATAACCTAAAAGCACCAGGCTGTTCCTGAAATGATTTAAATACTTACTTATCTTGATAACTTCCGTGGATTCAATGCTTACTTAAACACGTCCTGAATGTATGCTCAAGTGTCATTAAGAAAGCTTATTCTTCATATTTTAGAAAAATGTTAAACTGATAATTTTTCTTGTTAACATGGAATAATTAAAATTCAAGATTAGTATGACCTAATACCTACCCTCCCTGCCCCTCTTTTCTTTGCAGTCCCCAACAGAACATTTGTAGGATAAAAAAAGTGAAAACCAGGTCGTAGCTACACTCCTGTTGCAAAGTGAGCTCAGACTGAAGGTGGTGGGATCAATTCCCTGACCTACAACCCCCTCAATTAGAAACCATTTTTCATTTTACTAAGCAGGTCTTAGTAGTGCTAGGATAGTCCTACTTCTTGCCCTGCGTTAAGCACCTTCTGTGGGATCCACTGGAAAAGAAATTCTGATTTTGTATGGCTCCCTAGACAGGGCTTTACACAGACAGAAAAAAAGCTGTTAGAACACTGACCTCCTAGGAATCTTTACGATGTTAATCAAACTACTTCAAGAAAGAAATAAAGTAACACACCATTTTTATTATGTTGATTGTTAGGTGTGTATGGTTGAAACACTGGGACAATTGTCATACAAAGCTATCTTTAGCTAGACAATTGTATTTCTGATTTTCAAAGAGAATTTTTTTCCAAAGAATTTTTTTCAAAAGTTCTTGATTACAAGTGAGGTCTGGTTCTTATTACAACTGAAAATTGGATTTTTGTAAATTTTTTTGCTTTGCTTTTTGAAAGCAATCATTCTAAAGAAATTATAAATTCCTGACTGCATTTAACAATGCAAAAAAAATCAGGAATGTTTTCCATTGATGATGTTTCATTCGTTAATTTTTGTTTCCCTCTGTGGCAAAAGGCTGTCTTGAAATCCATATTACACTGTAGGATATCTGGCTGCTGATCATTTTTCATGTAAATGCTAAAATAAGAATTCAGGTTTTGTAAGATTGGAAGTATAATAGTATAGAAGGAGTGCTGTTACTCTGCTGTGGAGGTTCCTGTCTGGCAAATATTTCTACATATGCTTCAAGTTGAGAACCTAAGCAGTTTTCTTTTTAAACAGTGGGAACATGACACGCATATATTTAAAACACATACATGCAGTTGTCTCCAGGATCAGGGTCTAATTCTATGTTTAACTGTCTGTTGATATAAGCAATTAGTGCTAGAGTGACCGTTTTGTCATGTGCTTTTTCCATTTGCAAGCACTGTTCACGGGATGTTGAATGCTGTGGAGACCAGCTTTGCGTTTGGGGTGAGTGCAGGAAATCCACTTCAAAAGGAGAGAACGGCACCATTTGTGAGAACCAACATGACTGCAACCCTGGAATGTGCTGTGCTTTTCAGAAAGGTACAGAGGTTTTGCTTTTTAACCTATTCATTTTACCATACAGGACTGTTAATATTTAGCTCTTTTGCCCAGGTGAAGTGGTTAAATCTCTACAGAATCAACAGATCATTCTCCCTTGGCCTGTGGAGCGCAGCGTGTTAACTTCATGATAAACGTTTCAGAGAATTAGGAGTGAGAAACAGCTTGATAGAGGTACACAATGGTGAAAGAAAAGCCTATTGCACGCTAGAGATGAGAAGCACAAAAATTTACTGTTTCTAAAGGACAGTCTCAGACATTTAAAAGTAGCAGAGCTCTGTGTGAAATTTTCACCCAATAGAGCAAAAATAAGAGAACTAAAAATGTACAAAAGAAATTAATGATTACTGAAAGTGGCTTTTCCTTCTTATCAGCAAGCAGACCATCAGAATCAGACTGCAGATACATTTCATACTCTGTGTTTTGTGTGGGCCTTCCAGGGCACCACGCTATGCAACAGTGACCAGTCAGCCAAGATACGTGGAGGAACAGTGTTCCAGATTGCGTTGTCAGTCCACATGGGAATGTGAAACTCGATTTACAGAAGAGAGGAGAGGAGGAGAAGAAGGTTATCACGCCCAAAATCAGTCCCAAATCCTTTCTGGTCAGGGCCTAGCTTCTTCTACCATTTTATACCCATTGGTTCCTCGCTGCTTTTATCATAGTTCACCTCAATTTTGTAGTGACAGGCTACAACTGCAGCCATCATTCTATACCAGGTAGGTACTTCTCTAGAGAGCTTTTTTCCTGGCTCTTGCTATGAGCAGGAGGTGACCTTGTACCCTCACTGATGGTTGGGCTGCCTGTCATGCCCTCAGCCTGCATCAGGCTACTAGGGCATCTCAGGAAAACAAAGGAGAAAGCTCAAACAGCATTTAAAGGCGAGTGGGTCGGCTTAGCTTTTCCTTGGTAATTTTTAGCATTACATAGCGGACCTTCAATGTTAAGTAAGTTTGAGTTCACTAAGTTTTAGTTAGAGCAGGTTTCTCTTCCCCCCCCCCAATCAGGTTTCTGCCTAAAGCATTTACAGGTTTTGAGCATTACATAGTGGACCTTTGCTGTTAGGTTAGTTTGGTGTCACTCTGAGAGTCTGGAGCCTTCCCAGTTGAGCCACTCGTGCCCCATGTTGGGCACCAAGAAAATCTGTCACCGTTTAAGGCTTGG